AAATGCTTAACTAACTCTAAAGCCAAGTGCCACTAAACAGAGGTAGCCTCTAGTTAGTAAACTTTAAAATGCCATTAGAGTTCAGCATGTAAACTATTTATTTATCACCTACTGTGTGCCAGAACTGTCGTAGGCACTAAGACCATCAAGAAAGTTAAGTCCCAATCTAGATGGACTGTGAGCACAGCTCTCCCTGAGGAAAACCTGTATCAGGTAGTTGCCTTGCAAATATATGAGGACAAAAACTTCTACGTAAAATCTTTAAAGAAAAAAAAAAGGGGGGGCTGGCCCCGTGGCCGAGTGGTTAAGTTCGTGCGCTCCGCGGCAGGCGGTCCAGTGTTTCGTTGGTTCGAATCCTGGGCGCAGACATGGCACTACTCATCAAACCTCGCTGAGGCAGCGTCCCACATGCCACAACTAGAAGGACCCACAATGAAGAATATACAACTATGTATAGGGGGGCTTTGGGGAGAAACAGGAAAAAAATAAAATCTTAAAAAAAAAAAGAAAAACTTCTACGCATTTGCTCAAAACTGAGAACAAATCCCACTGGGTATGTCTTCTGAAGAAAGAGACCCAAAAAGAAAATTACATAATTAAAAGAAGTCAAGGGCTTTTTAATGTGCTGTTAAAAAACAATTGTCCAAAGACAATTAGAATTCATAATTAAAAAGAGAAATGTCTGTCAGGAAAACAAAATTCCTTGAAGTATTTGGAAAGAATAAATAAAATAAAAATAAAAATAATAAATAGTAAATAAAAATAAATGAATAAATAAAGTAATAACGGCAGAACCCTGATTCAGACTACCCAAGTGTGCTGCCAGATAGGTTTCATTATTTGACTTTAACCTCAACAAAAAACAAATATCCACAATTATTTACTTAAACTGCAATGAGAAAAAGATAAAAAGTCTAAGATTACTTCTACTACTCACTTAGCAGAAAATAGGAAGGCATGTGAAGGAAAAGAAGTATTAGGAAACAACACTTGACCATATTAATAATAGCTCTTGAGCTTGACAGGGTAACAGCAACAAATATGCCAAGTCCATAATTTCTTCACTGTGATTCTTAAATATCTTGCAAAGCAATCTTCCAAACAGGTCTGCAAACTGAAGAGAACAGGATTCACAAACTCTGCAAGAGAGACTACAATTCACCTGACAATTTCAGCACAATGCAACCCCTTCTAACATTTCAAAACACTCTCTGAGGGTACTTTGAGTGAGATGCTGATATGAACATGGGTGCATCTCAGCATCTCATTTAACAACCTGCTTCAACTGGATTTATGATTTCAGGTGATTTAACAACTCCCTTCAACTGGATCTATGATTTCAGACTTTGCCCTCCTGTTTCTTATCCAGGGTCCCCTCTTCCTCCACCCCAATGCAGTAAAATCATGTGTTTATTTGCCTTTCCTTCTAAGAATGTAAACTTCTCGGGGACAAAGACTCTTCCTATGTCAGTCCAGAGCTATTTAAGGAGGTGGTCAATAAACTGGTGTTGACTCAATTCACCTTTAGAATCTGAGTCCCAATCTTTTCTCTGAAGCTACTTTCAAAAGCATACTGCTGGTTCCTCAACAAAATTAAACACAGAACTACCATATGATCCAGCAATCCCATTTCTGAGTATATATTCAAAAGAACTCAATGCAAGTACTTGAAGAGATATTTATACAACCATATTCATAGAAGCATCATTCACAATAGCTAAGAGGTGGAAACAACCCAAATGTCCATCAACAGATGAATAAACGAAATGTGGTTTATATATAATGGAATATTATTCACCTTTAAAAAGGAAGGAAGGTAATTCTGACACACGCTATGACATGGATGAACCTTGAAGACATTAAGTGAAATAAGTCAGACACAAAGTACAAATACTGTATGATTCCACTTATATGGCATACTTATAGAAGTCAAATTCACAGAGACAGAAGTGTGACAGCGGTTGCCAAGGGCTGGGGGGAAGTTTAAGGGGGTTGATATTGTTTAATGGGTACAGAGTTTCAGTTTGGGAAGATGAAAAAATTCTGGAGATGGGAGGTGGTGATGGTTGCACAACCATGGGAAGGTACTTAATGCTACTGAACTGTATACTTAAAAATAGTTAAAATGGTAAGTTTTACGTTATATATATTTTACCATAACAAAAAACAGCAGACTGCTCCTTTTCTGTTTACTATTCTTGGACCAGAAGCAGCTTTAGTGCAGTTAAGAGCATGGACTCTGGAACCAGATTGCCTGGGTTCAGATCCTGGCTTGGCCACTTACCCTCTGTCCAACCTCTCTGTGCCACTGTTTCCTCATCTTCAAAACATGGATTTCATAGTACCTACTATACAAGGTTGTCATGAAGATTAAACAGGTTAATAAACATATAGAGCCTAACTCAGTGCCTGGGACATGGTAAAGGCTCTTACCACATAAGCTCTTATTATTACTATGCAAGGAGACAGTGGACGTAATTTGGAAAAATTAACCATCATTTTTTCAAGAATCTACAGAAAGTAAAGCTTAACGAGCTCTTGGTTGGTGGAGTTACCCAGAAGAGTGAGAAAGTCTTTTAAAGCACTGCTCTCAACTCGTCAATGCCACAGACATAATATTTTAATTCCAACTAAAATTCACAGGCATTAACATCTGCCTTGCACAGCTCTCCAGTATCCTGTCTGTTTGCACTGAAAATGTAAAGAGGACTGTGCTTTGCCAGGAATCAAATTATTACACACCTCCTTCCTTATCACACACCTCCTTCTCCAATAAAGAAAAAAATCTTACTCTTTAGATGAAACGTTCTTAATTACAAAATGCCCATCTATCTAGGGTCTTTAACTCTGACGACAAACTATAGCATATAATACTGATATTTGAGGAGATAAGAAGCATTTATGAAAACTTTCGTAGTATAGTATATCCAGGTTCTTACTTGAATCCTTAAAGCCTGGCACACCGATAGGTAACATATTCTTTAAGAGCATGAATTAGGTCTTCAATGTGTGCCAGCACACAGCACTGCAAGTGGTGGAACAAGTATGTGTTAACCAAACTTTCCTCAATGGTAAATTCTCCACTATCTTGGTCAGTTTATAGCATCAAGAAAAACACCCAGGTTTTCTGTCTCCATATCAATTCTATTACAGCCACTATTAATCAAACTAAAAAGCTACTGTCACCACTGCTACTTTCTTAGCTGAGAAAGTGAGACTTACTCTCTTCACATGAGTATAGCACAGGGCACCAAACTCTCAGTCCCAACTGAGCAAAGCATAAATCTAGAATTTAACTTCAGATAATCAGCCAGAGGACTTGCTCAGATGTTAATGCATAAACAAACATACTCATACCATGTTTATTTTCTCATGAAAACTATCAAAAACATTTTAGCAATTTGTCCTAATAAGAGAATGTATCAAGTCAGAGCAAAAACCTCAATTAAAATGGTTCATTAAACCTGAAATGTCCTAAGATAACTCCTTAATACAGGTTGGAGGACAATTCTACATAAGTCATATACACAAGGCTACACTAGTCCCTGACTTCATCATACTATCTGTAATATAACAGGGCAAGAACACTACATTTCACACAACATAAACAGAAAGTAGTGTAGATGTTCAAAGAATTACATAAAACCAGAAGAGAAGACTTTTCAAGAATACCTATACGCGTAGTTACCTAAATTGCAACTTATTTCTTTGTGAAATTAAGCTTATATAGCAGAACCATCTGTACAATCGAAATTTAAAAATGCAAGAATCGAAGAAATCAGAGTATTTTATTCAAAGTCTGAGTTTTTTTTAAATCACCATCTTTTACAAACAGATTATTTTTAAGAGTAAAATGTAAATCCAACTCTTCCTTTTATAAATCTCAGTTTTGTGAAGAGCAGGACTGGTTTTGAAGTCCTCAAGCATCGAAACAGTGATGAAGTCTAAGTAACTACCCACCACCCCATTGGCTCAAAGGAAGCCCCGCCCCGGACAGCCACCGTAACTAACAGCAAGGGAACTCCAGGAAAGGTTGTCCCTGGCCACATTTCTAGTTTCTGACGACTCTCCGCCCCTCCCCCGACCATCACCGCTGCGGAAGCATGGTCACAGCACGAGCAGCATTCCACTGCTGACTCCAACGAAAGGACCTTGAGCACCTCGCCCCAATAATTACAACCAAGAGAGGAGGGACAGTGACCACGCTCCCATTCTCCGAGCTGCACAGTGCCATCCACGCTGCATGGAGCAAAACGGAGACAACTGCTCTGGCACCGGGCCCTCGCGTTCCAGGCAAAAGGCATGGGGTAAGCCATAAGGGTAAGTCCGGACACCTCCACAGCTCTCAGTCAGCTGGGGCCCCTCCAACCCCACGGAGACGTAAGGCGGGTCGGATCTAGGCGCCGAGACTCGCTGCAAGACCCGACAGCAGGCTTTCCCGAGCTCCGCCTCACTTGCCAAGGAGGCGGAAACCGGGGGGAGGGGAGGACGGCCAGGGGGAGTGGCATCGCCACTCTGAACGCCCCGTCCGGCCAACCGGATCCCGAGAAGGCGGAGGAAGGTAGACTTCACGCCCCCTCCCTGCCGCGCCCCGAAGCCACACGCGGGAGACCCCCTACCCGTCCCCCTACCCAGTCGGCCAGCGCGCCGCCGCGGGCCTAGGCCCCGCCCATGCCAGGAGGGCTGGAGGGGTGGTCGGCCGCAAACTGCACTTAGCGCAGGGCCGGCCCCGCCCCTTTCTCCACCACCGCACGCGCGCGCCGCCCCGCCCCTGAGCGGCGGCGCGAGAGCCCGCCCCCTCCGCGCGCACCGGGACTACGCTCTCCTCCCCCTCCCGCACGGAGCTACCCTGCTCCGCCCCCCACCCCCCCCTCACACATCCACACACCTCCCGCCCGCCTGCTCTACGGGAAGCCGAGGAGGTCAGCCCCCCTAAAAATACACGCCCTCGAGTCCGGCGTTACCCGCCACCAGGCACCCCGCCCCGACCCCGGCCCGGCATGCTCTCACCGCAAAGCTGCTTCAGCCGCTCCTCACTGCGTGTCCCTCTCGGCGTGAGCCTCGGGCTCAGCAGGGAGGCCCCGAGAACGGCGCGGGGCACAGGCCCGCCGAAGCGGACTGGCAGCCTCCTCTCCGCTAACGAAGCGGTCACAGGCCCCGGTGCCCAGACTGGGAAGGAGGGAGGGAGGGAGGGAGGGAAACTCCGAGGGGGGAAGGGGAGGGGGGGAAGATGGAGAAACCGTCTCCGCCGCCTCTACCACCGCGGCCGCTTCTCTGTTACCCGGGAAATCCCGCCCACTCCCCCGGCCCGCCCCGCAGAGGGAAGACTCAACTTCGCTCCGCTACAGGCCGCATTATCCGCCCGTCAAAGGTTTAGCCAATCACTGCGCTCTGCCTGCCGACTGCCCGCCCCTTCCCCCTCGGCTGGGAGGGGAGAGCCGCTCACCTTCTCCACGCCCCTATTGGCGGGGAGCGTCCCTAACTCAGCCCCGCCTATTGGAGACAAATTGCTGATCCCACCCCCAAGCCGCAACACTATTGGAGGAAGCAGGGAAGCTCTTCACGTCTCATTGGAGGATTCCACATATCCCGCCCCGTACTGTCTCAGCCACAGGCCCAACAAGTCGGCTCCCGCCCTCGCCGGTCATCGCATTGGAAGGCTACCCCTGGCTCTCTCGCTGCCCCAGGAAGGTAAGTAACCGATGTGGGGTAAAATGTCCGTAAGTGAGACAAGCTCCTCCTACCACACTGCCGGGCCAGGCCCCGCCCCCAACTATCCGATTGGGTATCCTAGCGCCGGTAGGAGCCTCCATTAGCCAGGACGCCCGTCTAGGAAGGAGCTGACTCCGCCCTGAGCGAGGAGGCTGAACCTTAGCAGTCCTTTTGTGGAATGTTTACACTAGAGACTGGAGCGGAGAGTTTCAGGGCCCGAAACAAGAGGTTGTGCGAGCTCAGCAGCCGAGATCCGATGCCCTGGGATTTGAAGGGGAGAGGCAGCAGCATAAAAAAAGAGAAAGAGAACCTCAGCCTTCCTATCCAGTTCTCTCTTTACAATTTACATTTCCGCACGCTGCGTCCTCGTAAGCACAAATATCTGGAGCAGCCGACAGCTCCTTTCAGTAAGTAGAGTACAGAATTAAGGACTGGAGACCAAAGCCGAGAAATAGCCGCAGGGGTTGCCAGCTCGCAGCTAGGGGGGCGGCACACTCCTAACACCGACACTCCCTAAACCTGAATATGCAGCTAAGAGGGCGGAGATAACCAAAATAAAGGCAGGGCCCTAAGAGCCACCGCCCTGGCAAGCCTCGCAAGCCTCCTGAAGGCGGAGCGTGAGGCTTAAGGCACTCGCGATCTCCAGGGTAGATTTGGAGGTATCCTCAGACTCGAAGAATTGAGGAAGAGACCAAACAGGTCACAGGATAAATAAACCTTCACCTCACACTTCAGAGAAGGGATAAAAGTTCCAGAGCTGCGGACAAAAGAACGGCTAGTCACTTCCTCCTTGGCCAAGGAGTAATAATGGCAGTCCCTAGGCCCTCTCTGTGTAGGTAATAGTACCTCGAACATACAGAGACAAAGTGCTTGCAATATCTAGGTTGTTTTTATCTATTCACCAAATAGGGCAGAGAACTGACGCCGACCTTGCTTTGGGGGGCGCTCACGGAGCGCCAGGAGACAAGAGGGCGGGACTAGAGTTTTCCCGCTCTCTCTAGCAAAAAGGCTACTCCCCCAAGAGAGGCTAGTCAGTCCCCAAGTGGCAGGTCCCAGGCAACCCCTCCTAGGTCGTATCTTGTCCTCCCTCCACAATCCAGCGAAGACGGCAAGAATCGAGCGCTGGCAACAGGTAGGTCTGACTCCAAGGATGGCTTTGAGCCGCAAGGACGAGGCAGCGTACTGTGAATTCCATGAGTAACCGACAGATGGGAGCAGCCTCGCTGAGGGCCAAGCCCCGCCCCAGAACGGAGTTCTAAAAACAAGTCACAGACCGAAGCGACCCCCGCGCCAAACCTGTAGGAGGTTACGAAGAAGCAGCACTTCTGGAGAACTGCTCTAGGGCTACCTTTAACGCTGGGCCGTCCCCAACTCCCTGTACTGGGTACCGCACGGCTCTTCCACCTGGGCAATCAAGAACCACTTCGAACCCAAGCGGATTGGGCCACCCCCTACCTCTCGGTCAACAGGGGATGAGCTGCCCCGGATCTTGCCTAAGGCATCCAAGCCAATCCTAGTTTGCTCAGAGTTTTAGATAAAGCCAAGGACACCAGCTGCCTTGCGCTGGGAAGAAAACATACTGCCAGCGTCGGCAGCGTTCTCAAGCTTAAGCTCAGGGCGATGTCCGGGAAGTGAAGGGGCGCGGGAATAGTCAGAACTTTAGTACTTGGCTAGGAAGGAAAGATCCCGCCCCCTCCTCCCAAACTCTGCAGAACCCCGGAACTAAGCTCTCCAAATTCACTCCACACCGTCAACCCTGGTTGACGCAAAGACTACCAGATCTTGAGCTTGGAGGAATCATTGTGTGCCTTCTTGGCTCTCCCCGCCCCTCCCCCGCCCTTGCTAAGGGCTCCAAGCCCGGGACTTCCGGGCGGGAGGACAGTTCGAAGGAGCAAGGCGGGCCTTACACATGTGCGGAGCGCGCACACAAGCAAGGGGAGGGGGGCGGGGAACAGGGGTAGACTTCCCTCTCCAAGCTCGCCCCGCCAAAGCAGGCGGGACTACCCATCTCACCAATCAGAAGTGGGGGCGGGACCTTGCGCCACACGTAAGCCGCAGGAATCCACCGCCCTTCACGGAAAAAAATCCTAGCAACTTAAACTCCAGCCCGGCCTCCGACAGGCGGAGCTCGGGGGAATGTCATCCAATCGACAGCCGAGAAGGAAAAAAGGGAGTTTTGTCTAGCCAGTGGAAGACAAGAGAAGGCGGGCCCTCTGGAGGAGCCCGAGGTGGGTGGAAGAGACAGGAAAAGGCCCCGCCCCTCAGCTCCCCCCCGGGGCGGTTGCACAAGCCGCCGCCGGAATAGATAGTAAACAGGCTAGGCCAAGTAGTGGAAGTAAGGGCAGTCCGGCGCTCCGTGGGCCCAGGCCCCTGCGACTCCTGTCCCGGCGCGCCCTGCCCGACCCCGCGGTTCACGCCGGCGCCCCGCCTTCCAGCCCGTGGCCGCCATCCCGGCTGACAGGCGCGCCCCCCGCGCCCCTCCCCGCCCGCTGATGCATTTCCTTTTCCCGATTCCGAGCGTGCAGACTGTTTTCCCAGTTTCCGACCTTCACTGCCCCTTTCAGGCAACCCCCTCGTGGGCGCGCTCACACGCTCGCGGCCCCGCCCCCGCCCCATCCGCGGGCAAGCTGCACGGCCGGGGGGTTAGGGGGAGGGAGCCGCCGCCGCTGCCGCCTTAGGGTGGGCGGGGAAGGAGGCAGCTCCATGTTTGCAAGAGGATCAGCTGGGGCAGTGGGTCGAAGCAGCCGAGTTCCTAGAGGTTTTCCACAACCCCAGGTCGAGTTCCGCGCGGGCTCGGGGCCTGGCGGGTGCCGGCGCTGAATGTTGGCTCTACTGCTACGGCCCAGGAGTTTGACGAGCCCAGACCGGCGCACAGGGCTAGTGCCGAGGCGCGGGGGTCTCTTTCCGGTGGCCTCCCCAGCCCCCGGCAGCCCTTCCCGCGAGTCCGGCGTTGCCCCCGCCCCCAGAGTCCATAACAACCGCGGGCCCACAGCGCCCGCGCCTGTCTGGAGCGCGCCCACCGCCCCCTCCGACAAGTTTGCGAACAGAAACAAAACCCTCGGGGCGCCTGCCGCCCTCGCCCGGCGTGGTTAGCGGGGAAAGCCGCGGGCCCCGGCTCGCTAGCTAACTCCAGCCCGACCAACTCCAGGTGCCGCCGGCTCAGGCCGCCGCCCCCTGCCAAGCCCGCGCGCCGCAGCCCGGGCCCAGTTCCAGTCGGTGTACGGAATCTCCCCTTTTTTCTTCTTTACCATAATTTTTTTTAAGGCATTCCAGGAGCGGGGAGGATTTCCTCCTACCCGCCCCTAACCCAGTCCGCCGCCGAAACCTACCGAAACCGACTGCTCGGTGAAATAAACTAGGCAGCACGGCCAGCGCACTGGCGACCCCGGGCCGGGCCGACCCCCTCCCCACAGATCCGGCCCGGCTTGGGAACACACACTGGCGTGCGGGCGGCGCCAAAAGCTCTCCTTCCTGGCCTGCTGCTCGCCTCCCTCGGCCGCCGGACTCCGAGCTTCCACTATCCCCAAACCGGGGCCTTCGGCGCCCGCACCGTGGCGGACTGGGCAAAACGACCGGCCGGCAAACTAGCCCCCCAAACGCCGGAGATTGGGGAGACCAAATTAAAAGCAGCTGTTTAACATACCTTCCGAGCCAGGCGAGGAGTCCTGAATGGGAGGGAACGCCCCCCACGGGCCATTGGCTCCCTGGCACTCGCGTCAGTCACCCTGGGCCCGCCTCCTCCCCTCGCTCCACCTCTTCCCCTTCATTGAACGCCCCCTACCTCCAAGAATCTATAAATAAATTAATTAAACTAGCCGCGCGTGGGAGGCGCATCCGTGGCAGAGGCCCCTATCTCCCCGGCACTGCCGCCTCGAGTTTCTTGAGACCACTGGACTGGAGGGGAACATTCTGGGACTCGGAGATCTGCAGGGTGGACCCAGAGGAGGAGCTAGCGGGGCTCCCGGCCCCAACTTCCTTCACACACACATCCCATTTGGAGCCTGGCAGAGGGAGGCGGGTAGGGACACCCTAGCGACTGGCTGGAATGTCCCGACTCCCCTGGCTGTGTAACGTAACCGTGTCTGGCCCATTCTGTTAAGGAGCCTGCCTAAAAATGAGCAGTGTAAGCGGGAAGTCCTGCGTTTAGGGCAACAGGCACTTGTCTTGGGCACCTAATGTGGGTGAGGCAGACACATTCATACCGCATCTGCTGCTGGGTGCGATTACAGAGACTGAATGAGATGCTCTGTACCCTCCAAGGGCTCCACACCTAGCTGTGGATATGTTACAGAAAGAGCTAAGGCAAATACACATCCATAGGAGCTCAGAGAAGGTGGATTCTTTCTAGCTGAGGAAAACTGGGAGTCTTCATGGAGGAGGCGGCACTCAAGTTGGTTCTTAAAGATTTCATCAGGCAGAAATGGAGGAGCAAGTCATTTTGAGCAAAGGGCACAAAGGGGTAAATGCAAAACATTGTTAAGGACCTTCAAGTGTGTCTATAGTAATGAAAATCAGAGTCGGAAGGATGGAATCAAACAGTGGACGACTTTAATAACTGGTTAAAATTCTTAGACTTGCACAATGGAATGTGCAAGCAGCATTGTCACAGGACCACAAGCCCAAAACTATGGTTTAAGATGTCCAACATCCCAGCAGCTGGATGGGTTCTGAGAATGGGTTGAGTGAGGAGTCCCGACAGGAAGGAAGGTGAGGCACAAAGGCTGTTGTAATACTGGGTTTGGAGATTACAGAGTTATATCTTCTGGTGGAAGGGGTAGGTGGGGGCAGCTAAGAGGTTTCTTTTCTCTCTCCCAGCCACCCAACCCAGAAAGACTTCTCTACCTTCAGCATCCCTCAAGTCAAAGATCTGACTCAGATTGTTCCCTGAATCAATTGCAGTGTTTGTTATAACTTTCTCCCAAAAGGAGTTTCTTGGGGGCAAAGGCTACTCCACATGTCTGGGCTAAACAGAGCTGAGC